GGACCCTCGATAAGATAAAGGAAATCCCAGACTAGAAACAATACTTTATACTGCTTGTAAGTTTGTGAAACTTTTATTTATAAATCCTTGTTTGTAATAATTATTTGTAATAACTAGTTATTGTAATTAGTATTGTTGTGTGTGTGTGTGTGTGTGTGTGTGTGTGTGTGTGTGTTAAAAAAGAAAACTGTGTGTATCAATCTTGTCAGCAAATATAAACTGACTATATATCGGCTTTTAATTAACTACTAAATCCAAAGTACAATTTAACTACTAAATTTGAATTTATCAGTTAACTCAATTTCAGGCTATTTGAAATTATAATACCTAACACTAAAAGAGAGGAGCGTGATCGGCGGCATATCGCAATTCAAACCTTGGACTTTTTTTCACAGCACGGCACATTAACCTCTAAGTCTCGTCTGGCCCGAGCGATTTATATACAAGATTTAGCTAATGATAGAATTTAAAATTATGTTTTCATTTAAGTACTTTAACATTGTATCTGATGAGTTTTAATGTATCGGTGCTGAGAAGATCCTAAATGCATTTTACATTTATTAAATTTGATACGTGATCTACGAGCAAAAATTTATATCAATAACATTAAAAGTTGTATACCTTCGACTGTTTAACTTTCAGTACTGTAGTCTGTATGCCATAGGATTTAATCTACATTTGTTTTCAACTAATATATTTTTTCCTACGTGAAAAGCTGTTACTAAATCAAATATTCGCAAAAGTTTTTCTTGTAATTAGCGTTCTACGAAGGGTAACATTTTCGGGCATTTTGTTTCAGAAGTGATACAACTATAGCAGAAACCAAATGTTTCAGCCAATGGGCCCTTTCAAACAAAAATCTTTATAAAGTAACATTTAAGAACTTCAAATGTATTTAAACATGTCAAATAATTTTCTATTAGCATGATTCTACGAGCAATCAACCTCTTGAAACTATATCCCACAAGTCCTAATAAGCTTCTTTTTTTTTTTTAAATACCTAGTAAACATGCTTTTCGCTTTGTTAGCATACTATCCTCTTTCTATTATGGTCTCTTAATATTCTTGTTAATAATTTATTTATTTTTCTTTGTATGCTTTGCTCTATTTTTGAGGTAGCTTTGTATGAATGCTGTTTGTGGGTGAGCAATTTCTAATTATACAAAGTAGGTTTTATATGGTTTGTAGAAACTACAGTATTTAGCTTTAAACATTTAATGTCATTAAGGTTTAATTCCGGTCAACCAAACAGCTACATACATTTAATGTCATTTAGGTTTAAATCCATTTACACAAACAGATTGTCAGGGTTTATATATATATATTGGGATTCGTTTACAGAAGGTGTCTGTGACTTGTTGGTGACAAATTCGAACAATAAACGTACAGCACACGATTCACTTGTTTTAAAATATTTTCAAAATAAGTCAAACGTATGTACAGAATACTTTACACTATAGGATATCAGTTATATCTAAAACTTTAAATAATTCTCTTTTCTTGTCAAAAGTCCACTCGGGCTAATTCAATTACTTTAGAATCCAATTGACAAGACGAACTATTTTCTCTACTTTGTTTCTTACTGTACAATCTGCGATAGATTCACTTATCAGAGTTATGTCTCGAACTTTAGATAATTGCCTCCTTTCGTCAAAGTCCACACAGACGGGTTCAATTACCTTAGAACACCCTTTAACAAGACAAAATTTCTCCTTATCTTTATCAAACTGTGAAACTCACTTTAAAATATCACCCGTTATGCCTATTAACTCGCATGCCGGCTAACTTCACGTTTTCTAACTTTTTTCTGACTGAACTTTACTTTCATTTCACCTTTTATCTGACTTGCGCTCGCTTGGTTGCCTACACACACACACACACACACACACACACATATATACCCGTCAGTTACCCGTAGCTGAGTCATTAAGGTTTAAACCCAGTCAACCAAACAGTTACACAGATTTAATCTCATTAAAGTTTAA